ATAATAATAATAATAATAATAATAATAATAATAATAATAATAATAATAATAATAATAATAATAATAATAAAAACTAAAAGTAAGGTAGCAATGTTTATAAATCAAAATTAAAAAGTTTTTTTTTTAAATGTGGTGGTTAAAAGTCATATTTAAGCAACTCAAGCATTTCACATTTCAATTTACCATCTCTTCCTATATGATAACTCTTTTTAACAAAAATTTTTAATGACCGCTAAACCCAGAGATCAAATATGGGCGTTTTTACAGACCACAATAGTCATCTTGTAATTTTGAAACTATATGGAAGAACTTGTTATTTTCGACGAATCACTACGATAAAATTGAGTTTATAACACGTTTAAAATGTCTAAGCATCCTAATAAATTACGATTTTTGTCCCCATGGTTAGTTAATAATTTCATCCTTGTGGTTTAGAAATTGCAATTTTTGTTCCTATTGTTTGCAATATATTACTATTTTTGTCCCTAGACCAGATACTACCTTTAAGTATAAGGGACCAAAACGATAAAGAGTTGTAAACTATACGGACCAAAATAACAATAAGTTATAAATTATGAGGACAAAGATAACAAAGAATTATAGACCATAAGGACTAAAATCATAATTTCTAAACCATACAAAAGAAAATCATAATTTTAAACAAATTACAAGGACGAAAAACGTAATTTACTCTAGAATCTTTTACAAGACTTAAATTTATATAAACAAACTATAAAACATCATATGTAAAAGTGTTACAATTGATTTACATGATGCTTTTGGATGTTTAAGAAGTTTTTTAAGAGAATTTAAAAATAAAGTGTTCTTCTAGAACAGTTTTTAGAAATGTTTTATAAACCTATCTTTTTATTGGACATTTTTCAAATAGTATCATATAAAATAACAATACGACATTTTATTTTATAAACATCCTAAAAACTTGTTAAAACGTGCAAAATTGTTCTATAAACCTATTGTGACATTTTTAGGTAAGATGTTTTTTTTTATTTGGTCATATAATTTAAGTTCCATAGATACTAAGATATTTAGACATTTTAGACATCTTATAAATTAAATTTATTACAGTTAATATCCAGAAAGGAAGATACGATTTTTTATTTCAAAAATACAAGAAAAATAATCGTTGACTAAATCTTAAAGTTTATTAATAAAAATAAAGAAAGCGATTTTGATACGTCTTTCGTTCACTCAAATTCGTAGAATAATTATTTAAAATTATTTTTCATTTAAATTCTTAAAAATTGAAGTGTAAAATACAACAATATTAATTAATTTGTTGTAACATAGTTATTAATAATATAATTAGTAAAAAGTTAAATAAAAAACTTTAATAGAAAAAAATATGAGTTTTTATGCTTAACAAGGCCTACTAAATACAAAATATGCATCAGTTTTGCTTTATTTGAAAAATATCCTTAACATTATGTTTCTTACAAAAACACTTATCTCGTCACTTTTCCTATAACATTCATATATCCCAATGACAGACAGTTGTTACTGTTCGATAAATTTATGATAGGATTTAGGCTTCATGTTTTATCTGGTGTTTATTTAACATAAGACTTCTTCGAAGACCCTCTGAACCTCAGTATAAAAACATAATGAAATATGAAGAGTGTAATGTTCTATTTGTGGGCTTCCAGTAGATGTTCCATATGAACTTGAAGTTGTTGAAGCAGAAACACAAGTATTTGACAGTATTCGATAGTGTTTGTTTGATTGTATCAGATGGATTCTGGTAGCATTCGAAAATAATGGTTTCATTGGTTTAATTATATTCTTGGATTATTTTGTTCATGGTTTCACAATCGATGTTGCACAAAGTTTTCACAGAAAGATAATCGAAGGTCTCACATTGCAAAGACGATTAATAAGTGTACGATGATACACAATGATTTCACAACCGAAATAAAACGATGCGTACGCAAATGATATTTGATGGGTTCACGATTACAAAAGCATTGGAAAAAGTGCTTAATAATTACACGATGGATATTCCATGTCAATTGATATTCTTCAAAAGATGTTGACGGACTCATTTACCCTAAACACATTTACTCCTAATAAAAGCAAAAGCGATTATCATCATCTATTGGTTTGTTTGAAATCATTCAACCCTACATCCAATGACGATAATACGTATTTCGTTTCATTTTTTCCAGTCAACGAACATTTGTGTAGGTATGTTCATGCTTAATACTTGACTTTTTGACCCGATACTCAAAATTATTTTTCATTGCATAGAAGGCCGCTTGGGTTTTCAGTTTAACCTTGCTCTCAAATATCTTGAAAACATTAAATTTTGCTGATGGAACGCTAAGATGAGGATGAATTATGTTGATGGAAATCATTATATCATGATTCAAAAGAATTGGAGTACTTCCAAGGAGGAATAAAAATCCCCTTGTGACTACGAAGGTTCAAATGCGGTAACTCCAGGCTACTCGCAAAGCAGGTGGTCGTCCTGGAATTAGTCGTCTCGTATAGCGGGTTGAATATCCAGGTTAATAAAAAAAAAAGGAGTACTCCACATTAATGAAGATCCAACCTTTGTCTTGACTAAAAGTTCTCTGCAACATGATTGTCTCCAATTTGATGGCAATAAATAATCATCGTCATTACTCTAGTTTGCAACACAAGGATCGTCCTCATATTACGAGAATTTGAAGATATCTCCTTCAATACAGACAATTATGAATATATGATCCAATCAGATCTATTTTTGAAACAAAAATCTCAACCTGACTCTTAGTCTCGTGTAGCATTTCAGGTATACATCGACATATGAATTTGTTAAACTAGGGTCACGCATAAAGTAATTCTTTTTTTTAGTGACTCTTCAATAAATAATATGACATGAGAATCCCTTCTAATATGAACACGTATAAATGGTTCTTCATCGTCCATTGTGTTAGAAACATCCAAACTGAGATCATCCTCTCAACCATTCAATCTCCAAATTTTCAGAAAAAAAATGTCGTTGAGTTGCAAATACGCGACATGAATCAAGATAAATGAACTCTCAACATCTTTGAAAAACCAAGACTTGTCATTTTGTTTCTAAACGCCATTGTAAGAGACAAATACCTTGACCTTTGAGTCTAGATGCAACAAACCAAAGTTCACAGATTCTGAAGAAATTTGATAAAATTGGAATGCTAAATTTCATTGACTAAATTTCATTCTCTCGTTTAATTCATTATTTTTCACGAAAGAAATCTTTAAAATCCTACAAATTCCACAAATAAAAGAATTTAACATTTCTTAGCAACTATATGGTATTTTCATAATACCAAATATGCCCTTAATCCAATATAACATAATATCATAAAACCCAATATGATCATCTTAGACCACCGGCATCTAAACTATAGTCGTTGTGAAATCACCATGCAATTATGGTACCATCTTTGAAATACAACAAGGATCACAAACTCCATGGACATATAGAAGAAAGTAGAACATCATGAAAGCAAGATCATGTAAATTAGAAAAAGAAAACCAGTAAACAGACAAAGACAATCACATATATACTCAAAACAACATAATATTATAAACTTGTATTATATTTAACATCAATTTACTCATCCGATAATCTTCCGGTAGATGTATTTAAAACTATGCATTATATGTCCGATCTACTTGGTTTTAGACACGACAGACGAAAAGAAAACAAATATGAGGAAAAATCGAGGGATATTTTCAAAAGAACATAGAAATGTATACATATTTATCAAAGAAAGGAAATTGGAAACTCAAATTCTTGGTTATAATACAGGTTTTAGACTCGGTCTTCCCTCCAACCATACAGAATTGACGTCTCATTCCGTATGTACCATTTACTTGTATAAATCATTCCATAATAAAAACCATAAAATCACAAGTCATGGTCAATAAAATCTTAAACTATAAAAAGTGGAAAAAAAGCTGCTTTCTCATTGTTCACATATTTATCTTCTCTCATCAAGACTCTTGTATTTTTGGGGTTTCGAGTTTCAACCATGCCCTTGTGATTTTTACCAGGGAAATCGAGCAAAAACCAGGGTTTTTTGACCATGGGTATTTGCTGTTCTTCAAATAATCAAGCTTCTAGCGCCACTCCCAATCCCAGCTCAGGTACCAAGAAGAAATATTTACTTGTTATTTCATAGATTTTGTATGAAATTGTTTGTGGGTTTTGTGTTTTCTGCTGATTTACTGATAAACTTGTATGATTTCTTCTCAGTTTTGTTCATTTCTTCGTCTTTCTTTTTGAAATTTGGACGCATGTTTATGGGTTTTGTGTTTTCTCTGTTGACTTGCTGTAAAAATTGTACGAATTCATCTCAATTTTGTTCATTTACCAGCATCTAATCTCAGCTCAGGTACACCTAAAAGTTTTTCCACTTCCCTTTTTGAATTCTGTACACACTTATTTGTGGGGTTTGTGTTTTTTCTTGATTTACAACCCAATTTGTATGAATTCATTTGACTTTTTATCACCTTATGAACCATTCAAGAACTTGAAAACCCCAGAAAACCAACAAAATTGGCTTCAATTTGGAGTGAATAGTTTGTGGAGGAGAGCTTGATGACATTGGAAAGATTGACTGATAATAGAGCAAGTGTTGGGATCTATGATTGGGTATGGTGGGTGTGACAACAGATATCAAAAAGGGGAAAGAAAATGAAATTTGGATCAGAAACTTGCTATCCAAAGCTAACAAACCTAATCTTTATGTGTTTTTCAAGGCCTTCAAATCATTTTCTTGGTTTCTGTTACCTTCTAGTGTTTTAGGGTTTGAATTTAATCAAGATTACGGTTATTATAGTGGCAGGGATTTCACAGACAACCACCACCAGCAACGGCACTAGTTCATTATTGTCGGTGGTTAGTAGCAATGTCTCTGGGAACAGCCAGTTTTCATCAGCAAGCAGCGGTGATGATGTTGGGCCTGGCGGCCAGATCTTGCCTCATCCCAATCTCAAGATATATAGCTTTGCTGAACTCAAATCTGCTACGAAAAACTTCCGAAACGACACAGTTTTAGGTGAAGGTGGTTTTGGGAAGGTTCATAAAGGCTGGCTTGAAGAGAAGTCCGGTTCAAAACACAATGGAAGTGGTTCTGTTATTGCTGTCAAGAAGTTGAATTCTGAAAGTATGCAAGGATTCGAAGAATGGCAGGTAATTCAAAAACTGTAATTTGCACCAGGAGATGTTGATTGTTGGAGTCCCACATCGGCTAGACTTTAACTTTTTATCCTCAATGTATGTTGGAACCACTTTTCTGTTCTGAAGGGCTATTTTGGAAATTAGTTAATGGGGTTTCACATATCCTTACATGGTATCAGGGCTCTTTTGGAAAGTAATTTCATGGGGTTTCACATATTCACACATAGACTATGTGCATAATGTGAACAATATGTCAATGCACTTGTTTGAAAGATCCATATGCAGTTTCTTGATACATGTTGCACACTTGAATGTTGGTAAAGTTGTACTTTTTGAGAGGTTAGTGCAAGAACTTTTGAGTATTTAATTGGTTTCATGGAAGGAAAATGATGGTATAGAGCACCAACTCAATAATGTAAGTTTTGGGGTGCAAAACCATTGAGAAATAATGTATTTTTGGTTATTTATCTTCAAAAGTCGTTTCTTTTAGTCCCCACATGTCCTCATGTTGAGAATTCTTTATGATTTTCCCTAGTACCGACCATTCAGCCTTATGTAGAAAGACATAACTACCCTTGCTACAAAAGGCGGAATTGTTATGTAGCACCTCTAGCAACATATGATTCGAGTTATGATAAAGAATAGAGGATTCTTGGACCAAAATCGATAGCAACGCTGGTTTGAATGAACGACAACGGAAAAGAAGTGATAGTTGGCTTAAATAGTTCCCAATAAATGTTTTGCTTTCGTGGGTAGAGGTCTATGCATACATCCCACCCAGATCCTACTTTCAAGTGAGATATACTGGTTTGGTTGTGTTTTCGCTTTCTTGGGACGTCCCATGATGAGAACTGTAGTTCGAAGAAAAGTTTCAGTTTCTAGTTGCTAATGATCGCTAATTTTCATGGTTCTTTTTGAGCAGGCTGAGGTGAACTTTCTAGGAAGGCTTTCGCATCCGAACCTTGTGAAGCTTCTGGGATACTGTTATGAGGGCAAAGAGCTTCTACTTGTGTATGAATTCATGCAAAAAGGCAGCTTAGAGAACCACCTTTTCGGAAGTAAGAATTCTTTACAAGGGTCTGTTTGTCATTTAACATTGGTCTCGTTTATGTGGTGTGGATATATGTCATAATGGTCCCGTTTACAAGAAATCAAGACTTGTCGGCAAATGAAAGAATGTAAAATGCAAACTTATGGGTCCTTTACCGACACAAATTTGGTAAACACTAACTGGGTAAGAGGTTTGGCATGGATTAATGCTGACTGAGTAAGAGTGTATATCGATTCTTACCGAGTCAACATCTCAGTTAGCATCATTTATCGGTCAGACTGTATGATAAACAACCTCACCCCTTACCTGAATACCTGGTACGCATCTCTTAATGAGCAAGAGGCGGTCAACAATCAGTAAACAACTCCTTAGCTCATGTTTTTACAGACACAACTTGGGTACGCGTTAGCCGGTTATAAGTGTTGCCTGGAACAGGCCTAATCACTGACCGAGTAAGAGTCTCTCTCTTACCCAGTAAGAGGCGGTAAGCTGTTGGTAAACAGCCCCTTATTCTTTTGTGCGTTTAATTTTGCAGGAGGGTCAACCGTTCAACCGCTTCCATGGGATTTACGGCTTAAGATTTTGATAGGAGCTGCTCGAGGCCTGGCGTTTTTGCATGCGTTGGAGAGACAAGTTATTTATAGAGACTTCAAAGCATCAAACATATTGCTTGACGGGGTAAGTTCAGCACAACAAAATTAATAGTTTTTTTTGCATGGGGTGGGTTCAGTAGAGAATGCTAGAAAAAGGGAACCCATCCGAACCGTCCATGTGTTTTAATCAACGGTTGTGAATAATACGGACGTTTACATTTGCCAAAATTAAATCCACAATAACGTTTGTTTGTTTTTGACAGTCATATAATGCCAAGCTATCAGATTTTGGGCTCGCTAAAATGGCATCGGCTAGTCAATCGCACGTGACAACGCGGGTCATGGGTACTTATGGCTATGCTGCTCCCGAGTATGTTACCACAGGTAATCTTCATCCTTTACGCTTAAAGCCAGAAACACATGGTTTGGGTTGCAAGTCTAAACCGATAAACCACGAAAGCATACCAGACCTTGATCGTCAACTTAACCGGCAAATAAGTGCTAGGCCTTCGGGCTCCTCTCCATTGGTCGTCAGTTCAAGTCTCCTTAGGGCCACTAGGGATTTTCTTAACTGTTATCTTCAGAACCCCATGCCATGGGATTAGTCATGGTACATGCAAGCTGGCCTAGACACTACCGTTTTCTTAACTGTTATCTTCAGAACCCCATGGGATCCGCTACCGTTTACATTTGGAGTGAACTTTGGGTTTGTTTTTCAGGGCATTTGTATGTTAAGAGCGACGTCTATGGTTTTGGTGTTGTGTTGGTCGAGATGCTAACGGGCATGCGGACACTTGACCCAAATCGCCCGGTTCCCCAACGTAACCTGGTGGATTGGGTGAAGCCGATGTTAGCCAACCGTAGGAAGTTGAAGAACATAATGGACTCACGGCTCGAAGGAAGATATCCTTCAAAAGCCACGGGCCGCATTGCCCAATTGGCCTTCACGTGTCTTGAAACCGAGCCAAAAAGCCGTCCATCGATGAAAGAAGTGGTGGAAACGCTAGAACGACTCGATGCGATCAACGAAAAGCCAAAGGTGCCGAGAACACAAAATTCCAATCGTAACTCGTCAAATCGATATGGCCTACAACCTTTGCATCATCGTTCTCCGCTCCACGTCAAGCAAGATGTAGATGAAGGGAGCAAACACTTGCCGAAAGGATCGTGATAAAGTGTCGATATCAGATTTATTGTCGTTGTTGTTATTGTTATTGTTATTGCTGTTATTATCTAATTTTGGATTTTGACATAGATAAGTTTTTTGTATGTTGTATAATTTTTGTAAAAGTTTGATCTTTTGTCTAAACTATATCAACAATTTCTTCAAGACATATTCACATTTACTATTTTCGTCCCTATGGTTTGTTGAAAGTTTCTTTTTTCGTCCTTATGATTTTAAATTTGTTATTTCATCCCTATGGTTTGATATTAACTAACGGGAGGGGTTGTCGATGAACATTACCATGTTTCCCACAAAATGGAACCCTTTTGGAGCCATCTCGACACCCACATGAACATGCGTTGTTGGATTTCGGTAAAAAGAATCATGACGGGAGATGATGATTTTCTGAAAATAATGTCATTCCGCTTACCTCAAATTAGGTAGCAAAATCCAAATTGAAGCCTGCAAACTCTGCTTTAGCCAAGGTAAGGAAATGTCGTCCCTCCTGATATGACAAGTTCATCCAATCTGTTCTGATGCCCCACCATTGACAAAACCGACTCTTAATATGTTATGATATAAATCAAACCTGTTAAAAGGTTGAAACTATAAAAATATAAAAGAACGAATTATATTGAAGATATTTAATTATTTCAAAATAAATAGAACAAAAAAAATTGTAGTTTATTTATGTATTAATTTTTTATTATTTTTTAATATATAATTAATAGTTTTATTAAATATAAAAAAATGAATTATTTTGAACATACTCAACTATTTCAATATAAAAAAGGAAAAAAATGTTCTTTATTTATTTATTAAAAAATATTTTGAATGTTTTAATACATAATTAATAGTTTTATTAAATGTTATTGTTTAAAAATTTGGAAATGGGAAGATAAGGTGATCGGACGAGTAGGGCGTAGGGGGGGGGGGGAGACTAAAGTAACCTCAAGTTAACAGATGACTTTTAACAAAGTTAGTCTTAAAGATCAAAATGACAACAAATTATAAACCACAGGGACGAAAATCGTAATTTTAAAATCACAGGGACAAAAATTGTAATTTTAAAATCACAGGGACAAAAATAGGAATATTCAACAAACCACAGGGACGAAAGTCGTAATTTACTCTAAAATTATTAAACAAACCCATTACACGCATAAAATCAACACTTTCTGTGAGTCTACTTTTGGGCAGCATTTGATCACGGAATCGGAGATGCTAATCGAAGCCTGCTGCTGCGATCTTTGACGTCAACATTATTCGATCTGATTTTCCGATCAATATTTCTGCCACAAAACGGGAAGTAAAAGGTTTTCTTATTTCTCCGACTGTAACTCCGGCCATGAAGCCTCCATGTAGAAGATTAACACTTTCTCTATCTCGTCTTGTTATAGTCATCTTTCTGGTAATCATTTCTCAATTTGATTCAATTTATGCTTCTTTCTCTATGAACTTAAATGCAAGTCTCTGCTTAATATAGTTGCAGCATCACCATTTTGTTCATTAGGGTTCTTTCTATTGAAATTTGATCTCTAACTCTTACAAATCTCAAGTAACAATTTCAGTTTGATCGAGATCTTTGAGTACTGTAAAATAGCTCACCCTGAATTTTTTATGTCAAACGAGTACTATTTAGGTGCAGAATTGGTACTAGCTGTGTCACAAACCTTAGCACCGACAGTATTCTGTTTGTAGTACTTGTTTGAAAGTTAATGGTGGTCAATAACTATCTTTGCAGTAACTTGGAATCCATTATCAAATTTGAATATCCCGTGCAAATCCCAAGCTCCAAGCCTAGCTGTTTCCCTTGTGACATGGAGTAGGCTTTTTGTGTTACAATGTCACCTAGACCGATTAAGGATCTGCATAGATGTTTGTCCTAAAGCCTTGTTGGAAGCCGTAAAAATTTTGTTTCATTATGACGGACCAAGGATAAAAGGAGTTATGAAATGCAAAAAAGGGTTTGAGGTTTTGAATTTGTGCATCAAGCCTTGATACTTGCACTATGATATTCTAAAGGATAGAGGGCTGATGATTTTGAGTTAGCTTATTGAATAGATTGAACTAGTCTTGGTCATGGATGAAAGTTTTTTCAAGCTGTCAATTCTTTGCATATTTGAAAGTATCTTCCTTGAAAAAGTTTGATTCTTATCATTGCTAAACCTGTTCACCTCTCTTCTACTTTATCCATGTTATCTTAATGGATTTTTACCATTTGTGATTGGCAGCAAATATTAAGGTTCAAAATCCAGTCGTGATCTTCTGTCTTGTTTAAACATGCGTAACTGTTTCCTTTTTTCTTTTGTGTATTGTATTCTTAGTTTTATACAAGCTCTTTTTATTTAATGTGTATGAACAGGTGCTTATTCACATTGCCTTAGTTGCAGCAGATGCATTTGATACTTTAACAGTGTAAGATGACAGTCAGCATGCTTTGATGTTACATTAAAAATAAACTGTTATATATATAGACATCACCAAATTTGTTTGAAATTCTACGATTGTATCACTTTCAAATGATTTGGGATACTTATTCCTTGATCATGCTTCATTTTCTGTTCTTTCAGTCAAAGGGAAATTATTGAAGCCTGGCCGTTGTTTGACTGTCCCCAGTGTATGGATAAGAAGGTACGTTCTCATCTTCCATTAGGAAAAGAAGAGAGAGAAATTTTCTATGTCACCATGCGTCACATATTCACATGTGTTTCTTCTTAATTGTACATTGTTTTAACACATGCATATATTCCACTGAATGCACCATTTCATGACTTACTCCTTCAGCAGACCCTTCCCAGAACAGCTTCTTTTCCATAGCATGATTAAGGCGTCATCTATTTGAGCCTTCCCAGAACCTGCAATGCAGGAGCCATACTTTGTGCCGTCTTTTCTTAGATGGTATGATGGTAATTGGTAACCCTTATGGTTTCATCTTGAAGAATGGCTTTTTTTGTGTGCTTTCCCTTTTCTATAAACATGCAACGCTTGATTTGCCCCTTAGTTTAATAAAAATCTTTGACCTTCATAAGACAAAATTGAGAAAGCTTGTGGACCATATTCAATCTCACTGATATATCGTGATAATAATTGATGGACAAATAAGTAAAGTTGGATTGAAATAAATGCTTTATTTTTCTTGGACATGCAATAAAAATTGCTTCATCGTTTTTGGGATGGAGGATGAAGTATACTTGATAACTAACCCAGACTGTATTTTCTTGTATTTAATCATTCCATCAATTAATTCATTTGTGAAATATAAATTCTCATCTTGTTTCTCGACATTCCAAAACTCTATAGTCCTTTATTGTTTGAGTGGAAGTTTCTGCTATTACTGAATAAGAAGTTGAACATGCAGGAACAACTTCACACAAAATCTATGGCAGTTGGAAATCATCAAATCGAGAAGGTAACCATTCATTTTTAGTTATCTTGATGGTGCTCATCAATGATGATGCCACTGCCTTTGTAATGCAATGCAGGATATTGACATAATAGTGACATACACAGACACTTCTGGTGCCATACGAATTAGGACGGTGAAGTCTAAAGATTTGTCGGCTTCATGGGTCTGGAAAAACCCCATTAATGACAAGCAAGCCAAAGATGAGGGCTCAGAGGTATGTACACTAGTCTTCTTATGAAAGTACACCCACCGTCCCTTGACAATTGCAACAATTTCCATTTTAGGATATCCCGAAAATATTGCAACTTTCCCTTTGTTTGGCAAGTTTTCTAGTTACAATTTCTTATTTTCCCTTTTGTTGTCACTACGAAGTATAATAATATTGATTCAGAACTCAAAATTTTCTTATTGTGTTATTATGGAAGGATATTTTGGACATTTGACAAATGGTTAAATCTCTCTCCGAAACTATATGCCCTGTAGCAGTGCAATTTCACTGGATGAAGGGAGTAGTCTACACCCTGAGTAATATTGACATTTGTCATACTTGATTAATATTAACATTTGCCTGTAAATTATCTTCCTTCTTTGATAAATCTAGTCACTAGAAGATCAGCATGATACGAGAGTTTTGGACACCAACGAGCTTTCTGCCAATGAACATGCAGATGTAAACGAACAGCCACTTAAAACGCCATTTCCCATGCATCCAGCAAAGCTCAGGCGTCGGGTAATTGGCAAATACTTTTCTGATGGGTTGTTCTATCTGTGTCGCATCACAAATCATGTTTCTCTTTTTCCATGTAGGCCTTACGCCAAGAAAGGAGGGATCGCCGGACTGCAGAATTGATCCAAGGTGGTGACAAGAGAGAGACTCAGATGCGATCAGCTGCCATTGAGCGTGCTAAAACTTTTGACACCAGTGTCAAGGCTAAATACAGTATTTGGAGAAAAGAATATGAAAGCCCAAATTCTGATTCTACCTTGAAACTTATGCTTGACCAGATCATAATGGCAAAAGCATATGCAAGTATTGCAAAAGCCAAAAATGCAACTGCTATCTATGATTCTCTAATTAAACATTCTAAAAGAAGTCAGCAAGCAATTGGGGAAGCAACTTATGATAGTGAACTTGGGCCCAGGTATTGCCCTTTGGTTTTTCCTTGTTAAAACTTGGGCTATTTAGCTACATGACCTCCTGGCCAAGTATTTTTAATTCCATGACCTTCTTACAAGTTTCTAGGCATTCTTGTGTATGGAAGAGGCATTCTCAAAACCTGCCAGAAGGTCATTTAACCCAAGGACCCTTAAAGCTTTCGAGAAAATTTCTCCTTTACGATACTAGCATGTGCTTTTGTTTCTTATGTGAGTTATGTTTATCCCTCCTCCACCAGTGCAGTTGATCGGGCTAAAGAAATGGGTCATATTTTGTCCTTAGCAAAGGACCAATTTTATGATTGTATCTTGATGGCGAGAAAATTAAGGGTTATGCTTCAGTCCACAGAAGCAAATGTTGAGGAAGTGAAGAAAAAGAGTGCATCCTTAACACAACTGGCTGCCAAAACTGTACCTAGGCCTTTGCATTGCCTTCCCCTGGTGCTCACGACCGATTATTTCTTGCTGAGTGATGAAAAAAAGAAGTTTTCTAACAGCAGGAGTCTTGAGGATCCTTCTCTATACCACTATGCTATATTTTCTGATAATGTTCTAGCAACATCTGTAGTTGTGAATTCGACAGTCCTACATGCAAAGGAGCCCGGAAAGCACGTGTTCCATATCGTTACAGACAAATTGAACTTTGCAGCCATGAAGATGTGGTTTCTCGTCAACTCTCCTGCAGGTTCCACGATCCAAGTTCAAAATGTGGATGATTTCACTTGGCTCAATTCTTCTTATTGTCCTGTTCTTCGTCAGCTTGAATCATCTCGAATGAAAGAATATTACTTTAAGGCACATCAAACATCATCTTTAGCAGCTGGATCCGACAATCTTAAATATAGGAACCCGAAATACTTATCGATGCTGAATCATTTGAGGTTCTACCTTCCTGAAGTATATCCAAAGCTGGATAAAATATTGTTTCTCGATGATGATATTGTAGTTCAAAAGGATCTGACACCTTTGTGGAGTGTTGATCTGCATGGGATGGTAAATGGTGCTGTAGAGACCTGCAAGGAGAGTTTCCATCGGTTTGATAAGTACCTGAACTTCTCTAACCCAAAGATTTCTGATAACTTTGATCCAGATGCATGTGGTTGGGCATTCGGCATGAATATGTTTGATTTGAAGGAGTGGAAGAAACGCGACATTACTGGAATATATCATGGCTGGCAAAATATGGTAAGGCCACCAACTGTTCCATCCCTCAATAGTGATTTTTACCATCTTGATAACCAGCGCTACTTTTAATTCCAAGTGCTTTAGGCTATGTTCAACATACTAGCTGATTAGCTGGCGGTTGGTAGAGATTCACAAAAAATCCCAAGCCCGAAGCCTGGCATGGTCCTAGTAATCCCGAGCCTAGGCACGGCCCCGGCCTTAAAGACCGATCAGACCAACCCTTTTTCAAGGCCTGTTGGCCCAAAAGAGGCCGGTTATGCCCAAAAAGCCTGATTGGGCCCTCTTTCAATCCCAAAGCCCTGTCTGGGCCTGAAAAACCCAGCTTTTTTTGCTTACTGAAATAGGGCTTGGAAGGCCCAGGATCAGGCCCAAAAAAGCCTGCCCTTGTGCATCTCTAGCAATTGGCTGATAAGCTAGTTGTTAGTTGATAAATTAATCACATAAGGCAAAACTAGATGATAAGGTAGATGGTAATGTAAAATGACCTAAAATGCTAGAGTCTGGTCATTTATGTAAAACATAACAGGTATATTTGGAAAAAAACGAAAAAGAAACTCCTAGAGCTTATTGGAACACTACCTAAAGTTGCTTCTTTAAAAGCTGGCCTACGGGTTTTTCCAGTAAGCTCAAAAAATAAGTTTGGCTTATGGTTGGCACACATGACGATTTTTCCATCTTAGTTATGTCTTGGTTTTTATGGTTGGTTGTTTTGTTTTTGGCAGAACGAGGAAAGAACGCTATGGAAGCTTGGAACACTGCCTCCCGGATTGATAACATTCTATAACCTGACCCATCCACTGGACCGAGGTTGGCATGTATTAGGACTTGGGTACGATCCAGCCCTTAACCAAACTGAAATAGAAAATGCAGCGGTCGTACATTACAATGGGAACTACAAACCCTGGTTAGATCTTGCAATCAGCAAGTACAAATCATATTGGTCAAGGTATGTCATATTTGATAATCCATATCTTCAACTTTGTAACATTAACACCTTCATGTTATCATAATATTCTTGTTTCACATTACATGTAACACTCCTTTCTTCCTTATTTGTATACAAACTCAAGGTCACAAAATTCATACACCATGATTTACATATTTTTCATGGGACAAGTGTTCTTTTTGGATTCTATATCAAGGCCATGCTTAAGCTACCTTATTTTTTTAAACTTATTGAAAAAGTCCCATTTGGTGAGCCTTAGGATTTTTGAAAACCTACTTCACATAGCTTATTAGGGCTTCTTTTCTCTTTTTTCCAATTATGCTCTTTATATTTTATACTATTAAGTAGCCAAGTCGACTCCACCTCCAGAAACAGGCTGCAAAGTTTTAGTTCGATATCATCAAAATTTATGTGATATGCAAAACATGCGGCAAACTGAAACTTTGCAGCCTAGCAGCGACTAGACTCTGATCTGCAACCAGCTAGGCTGCAAAATTTCAGTTTGATATCTAAACAATTGTTATTCAAATCAAATATTGTTTTATCTATTTGATTAAATATACAGAACACGTAACTTAATAAAGGAAGTAGATAAAACTCGTAAGATTTAAGTACAATTTTTTTTTTATAAATATTCAAGATCCATATGGTATATAGTCATTGCCTCTGGTTGTTGATGGCATCGGATTTTTGACTTCCTTCTGGTGGTGATATTATCATTGGTGTTGGCAAGTTCAACCTCGAGTTAATATTACCTTATATACAGCAAACACAAACCTCGATCAATTTTGGTGTAAGTCGTGTTCTTTGTTTTGTTAGCTGCCGCCACAAGAAAAGGCGGATTTGAAGCTACAGTGCTAGTTTTAACGGTAGGAAATCACAGATCATGGAGTTAAAATCGAAAATTGTGATTCATTTTCTTTTCATCATGCTAATACATCAAGAGTTTTGAAGTTGCCGACACCAAAAATTCATAACAAAAATTTGATCATAGATACATATATAATATATCTAATTCAAAGTCGATCCACAATTTACTTTGTGTTTGGATTAAGAGTTATCTGAGGGGTGTTTGTTTTGATGGAATGATTTTGAAAGATTTAGATTTTATGGAAGGATTTGGAATTTGATGTGTTTGTTTTGATGGATTTTGAATGTTTTTAATAAATAATTTGTAAAAACAAATTATAAATAATTAAATTGCTTTTTTATTGACGAATTATTAGAAAATAGGTGTTTTTAACATATTTTAAAGTATTATTATATACAAATCCTACAAAATTTCATAAAATTCCAATCATCCTTGTGGGATTTCAAAATCATATGTTTGAGAGATTTCAATAAAATCCTAGGAATTCAACTTCAGGACACCCTTCAAACCAGATATGAGATTAAAATGAAATTGAATTCCAAATCTCTTCAAATCTAATTTGATCTTACAAACCAGACGGGACCTATCCTCAAACCGATTCTCAAGTAACAGGTATAAGTAGAAAAAGTTATATTTAATAAGAATTGACTGATCATAATTAATTATTATTTTAATCGGTCAAAAAATAGTAAACTCTAGTCTATCACAAGTCGTTAACATATTATTTATATTTAGTGTGTTTGGCTAGTAAAATTTGGAATCTTTATAGATAATTTATAAAAAAGAATTATAAATAATCATAAAACTAATTAACTTGTCTTTTCTTAATTAGTTATTACAAAATAAATGTATTTAACATATTTTAAAATATTAGCACAAACACATCTTATGAAATTCCATAAAATACCAACTTTTTCTATATGATTTATAAATTCAATGTATGTGGGATCTTATTGAGACTCGATTTTAATATTGGACTTTCTTTTAAATCAAATACAATTAAGATTAGAATGAAATTTAATTCCAAATCTCGGCAATCCAAATGAGCTCAAATATATATATATATATATATATATATATATATATATATATATAGGGAAGGGTTCAAACGAGAACCCCTGTGATTTACGAGAATGTGAAAACAACTCAATAACCTCATATTGTGATAAAAAATAAAATTAAAAGATTTTTAAAATTAAAATTGAAATTTAAAAAGATTCAAAATATTAAAAATAAAAGGGTAATAATGGAAATGATATCATAAAATCTTTTAACACGATTACACACGATCATGATTATCATTATCTAATAAACGGTTAATAATGTGATATGGGTATGATAATCATGTGATATGGGTGTGATAATCATGTGATATCACTATCATAACAGCGCACTCGATTTGATCATGGTTTCGATCGGTTAGGGTTAGACAATCACACATTTATCACAACGATTAATAATGGTTTCGATAGGTTAGAATTAGACAATCACACATTTATCACAACGATTACTAATGGTTTCGATAGGTTAGGATTAGACAATCACACATTTATCACAACGATTACGGGCGACATCCACTAAACGATTTTGTGTGATATGAGTGTGATAATCATGTGATATCACTATTATAACATCACTTGCGCACTCAATTTGATCATTGTTTCGATCGGTTAGGGTTAGACAATCACACATTTATCACAACGATTACTCATGGTTTCGATAGGTTATGGTTACACTTGACTGATCATGGTTTCTATAGGTTATGGTTACACAATCACACAATTATCACAAGGGGAAAAAAGAGAGTGGAAACAAACGTGCAGGAAAAAAAAAGGATAATTATGACTAATTAAAATAAAATAAAAATTATAAAAAGTACTTAATTACATTATTGCCCTTATTAATTTATTTATATTTAATATAAGTTAATTTATTAATTAAAAAGTTTGAGGTTATTAGGTTGTTCTCGCATTCTTAGAGAATTTTAAAAATCTTGATATGTGATAGAGAAATTAGTTTATGTTATAAGATAAATGTGTCATCATCTACAGGACACAACGATAAAGATAGAGATAAACATATTAGAAATAGATTAAAACTTATATCTCTCGTAGTTATCTACTTGTAATTTATCTCTATAAAAAAAATTATAATTAATGAGATTTATAGATTTCATTCTCTCTATTTTATTTTTGTTCTATTTGTTTTTCCTTTAACCGTTTTTATTTATTTCCACTAATGATACTGAATTATTATTATTTTATAATTTTCTTTTTAAAAAATATATTTTAATTTTAAATTTATAAAATATCTTAAAATTATAAAAAAATATTGAAATCTTTAAAATAAACCTCTTTTATTTTCATGTACAGTTGACTCCCCTTTGGCTAGATTCTGTTTTCTTCAACTTGTGACCAACAATGCATTATCTATCGAGTTCAAAACTTTCCGATTTGGTTTCAAAGATCAAAGAGTCATCGTTTAATGGAAGATGGCAACAAGTATTATCGTTATGCAATGAATTGAACAAATCAGGAGGACTTCAATTGACCCAACCTTCATTGTTCCATCCCATTTTAAAGGCCTGTGCTGCAATATCTTTGAACCATGGGAAGTCCCTTCATGCATCTGTGATTAAACTTGGAGTTGAATCATGCACATCTATCGGAAATTCGATCATGGATTTGTATGCAAAAGCTGGGCAAATGGGTTCAACATTCAGTGTCTTTGGTTGCATGACGATCAAGGATTCTGTTTCATGGAATATTTTAATTTCTGGGCATCTTCATCATGGTGATATGGATAGAGGGATTTGTTTGTTTATGCAGGCTAGAGCAACAGGATTTGCACCCAATATCTCCACTTTAGTACTTGTAATTCAAACAATTCGCAATCTTGGAGCTTTACGTGAAGGACAGAAAATGCATGGTTATATGATCAAGACTCGGTTTTTAGCCACCTCATCGGTCCAAAACTCTCTCTTGTCCATGTACGCAGATATGGCTATGGAGTTCGCACGCAAGCTGTTCGATGAAATGTCTAACAGAGATATGATTACTTGGAGTATCATGATTTCAGGCTATGTTAAAGATAACGAATCGTGTGTTGCTTTGGGGGTTTTTCGGGAAATGTTATCACATTTGAGAACCGAAGTAGATGGCCAAACAACAGTAAGTGCACTCAAAGCCTGCACCAATTTAAACAATCTTATTACAGGAAGAATGTTACATGGATTTATCTTTCATAGAGGTTTTGGGTTCGATTTGTTTATAGGGAACTCTTTAATTGATATGTACTCCAAATGCAACGATCCCGATTCCGCGTTACAAGCTTGGAGAGAAATCCCTCTAAAAAACATCGTTTCTTGGAATTCTCTTTTATCTGGATTTGTTTCTAATCACAAGCATTCTGAAGCTCTTCATCTTTTCGATTCAATGCAAAAGGTCGGAGTGGAGCCTGATACAGTCACATTGGTGAACCTCCTACAAGTATGCAAACATTTTGCAGATCCACTTCTTTGCAAAGGCATTCATACTGTGATAATCCGACAAAACTACGAGTTAAACGAGTTGGTGATTAATACTCTAATCGATGTGTATGCAAAGTGTAATCTTATAAATTGGGCACAAAAACTTTTCAGTTGGATCAAGATTCGCGATACTATTACTTGGAGCACAATGATTGCAGCTTTCACATATTGTGGCTTGCCCGATGAATCAATTGGAATCTACCAGAAAATGATCGACGCACGAGAGAAACCCAATGCCATTACTATATTAAATCTCATCGAAGCCTGCTCCTTTGATGCAGAACTAAAAAGACCAAAATCGGCACATGGGATTGCCATCAGAAGAGGCTTTGCATCAGATGCAATCGTTGGGACTGCCATTTTGGATACGTACGCCAAATATGGCGATATAATTACCGCAAAGAAGGCTTTCCACCAGATTTCTAATAAAAACGTTATATCATACAGTGCCATGATTGCAGCATATGGTATGAACGGTCTTGCTCGTGATGCCCTAAGTTTGCTCGATGAAATGGAAACACGTGGTCTAAAGCCTAACTCCGTGACAATACTCTCTGTATTATCAGCATGCAGCCATGGTGGTTTGATTGATAAAGGACTGTCGTTTTTCCAAAAGTTGATCGAAACCCAAGATTTCAAACCGAATCTTGAACATTACTCCTGTTTGATAGATTTATTAAGTCGGTGTGGGAAACTTGATCTTGGAACAGAACTGATCAAGAAACTGGCAAAACAACATAAAGCTGGCGCGAGTGCGTGGGGAGCCTTACTGAGTGGCTGCAGGATAAGCTACAACGGAAACAAAGAAATCAACGAGAAAGTGGTTTCTCGTGTTCTTGAACTGGAGCCAAATAACTCGAGTGGTTACATGCTTGCATCAAGCGTGTTCGCTGCAAGGGGTTTGTGGGAGGATGCTGCACGGATTCGAGCCTTGGTAAGAGAGAAACATGTTAAAATTGTGGCCGGCAATAGTATGGTACATGTAAACAACAAGTGTTATAGGTTCGTTGCAGGAGATAGAAATCAGTTTTTGTCAAACGAAATACGGACAACCATTGAGGAATTACACAAGTGTATGAAGATGAAAAAATCTTGGATGGAGTCCTATTTGGTTTAGATAGTGTCGGTTCTTGCATATATACAGGTTTGATGGTCTGAGTACGGCCGATGTGGCACTTTCCTGCACCACCAGATGGTCCAAACCTGCCTTTCCAACTGTAGCTGATAGAGAGCTGTTAAATAGCAAGAAAGCAAGAAAAGGATGGAGTCAAGTTTCTAGCCTTTTGTTGCAATGATCACAGGTGGGCATCTTTTATTTCCTTGGTTCACTGCTTACTTTGAAAGAATCCCACATTATGCATGATTTGAGGGGTTTTTGAACCATTTAAAACCCCCTTAAACTAACATCATACTTGCTACAAATCATGGTGTATATGTATAGATACACATTGTGCATGATTTCAGGTGTTCTTCAACCATTTGAAACCATAAAACTGACAGCTTAACTACTACAAATCATTGGTATATTAGTGTATATATATGTGTATATAGATATAGATACAGTATACCCATGTCTGCAATGCTAACTATGACTTCATAGGCTTAATCTTAAATCCAAATCTGAAGTTGAACAAGTAGGATCATCTTCTTGTAGAGTTGCAGGTAAGTTGAGATCAAACCTAAATTTTAGGTGCCCTTGTGGAAGCATTGATGTTGATGTGGTTGGTATAAGACCATCTTCCTTCTCCCAATGGCACCTTTTGTGTCCACCCAGTGCTTGACCACTTGAAAATATCCTTAAGCAAATGCTGCATCTGTGCTGCTGATTGCTGCTGCCCAAAACCACCATCATGTTATCTCCTCCACCACCAGTTCTGTCACAATGACTCACAAACTCGCCATCTTCGAGCTCTTCGATTCCACCATCATTTCTGGTTATCGCAAAGCAGCCTTTCACATTCTTATGACTCGCCCTGTGCCCGCCTAATGCTTGGTGTGACCCGAACACTTTCTTGCAACTTGAGCATTCGAACCGGATTTCGGGATCCCCTAATGTGTCTTGTAAACCTGGCTGATGATGGTGGTGGTAACTTGTGGATGTATGGGTGGCAGTGGTGGTGGTGGTGGTGGTGGTGGTGTCTGGAAGAGTTGGTCCCTTGGCTAGCATCAGTAAGCATGCTGCAACATACTGATCCTCCTCGGTTGTCACATGGGTGAAATCCTCGTGATCCAGCGGCTGGTGGTGGAGATTTGGCGGCGGATTGATCCCGCGCCACGGTCTTTCCGGATGACAACGCATGTGACCAAAGAGGGCTTTCCAGGACCAGAACCTCTTTCCACATTCGGTACAGGGCCGAGTGATCTTAGGAGCACTTGGATCAGGTTTCTTCTTTGTGATTACGCTGGAATGGTTACTGGAATCAACCCGAACATCAAGAATCGCCGCCTTGCTGTTGTGAAATCTGATCATCTTCGTCCGCTTCTTCCTGGGGTTCTGCTGGTGAGGCCGGATTATGGTGATGGGCTGGATGTTTCCGGCAGAGACATCGGAGACATCAAGGGTTGGCCGGAAAATCTCTTGAGCATCCGGAGAAGCAGGGCAGAGTTGCAAATCCGATGAGGTGGTGGTGGTAGCATCAGTGATCATATCTTTGTTCATAATGTGGTTGGAAACAGAGAGCGATAGAGATGGAAAAAAGTGAAAGAAGTGGCGGAGGGGGTTTTCTTACGGTGGTGATGGCGGCAACGGTTACAGGGGTAGTTATTTTCAGTTATTTTGATGCTTATCTTTTTGGGAGCTAAGGAAAATGGTATCACTCGAACTGGGCCATGATTTTTCGTAGGATGTTCTTGTCGTATATTTACACTCGCCTCCCCTTTATTTTTCATTTTTCCATATTTGAACCCTAATCTTTTTTATTTGTTATCATACCCTAAACCCTAAATGTTGTGGGATTTTAATGTTTTGCACACACGAAACCGAGATCAACCATCTAAGGGGTGTTTGGGATTTGCTTATTTAAAACAACTTATGTTTTTTTGTAAAAGTGTTTATTAACTTATGTGGTATCAAACCGGAGTTTTGTAAAAAGTGTTTGGATTAGCTTATAGGGGTACCATAAGCTGATAAATTGTTTTTTAGTGTTTAGCAAATTTCGCTTATATATATATAATGACCAAAAAAAACACACAGTCTTCCATATTATTGACTGATGGGAGTGTTTGGAATTGCTTATTAACTTATTTAATTTTTTAACATATAAAAATTTATTTTTCATCATTTATAATAATATATTTGACAAAAATTTATATCAATAAGATTAATAATTAACAAACATTAATAAAACAGGGTTAAAATGGTACTGGTAAGCAGTTTTTCATAAGTCAAGAAGGATTAACTTATCAAAAACTGCTTATTACCGGTTTGGCACCAGTATAAACAATTTTATTTTTCTTCATCCAAATACTAACATTTAGCTTATCACCAATGTCAGACTAAAATAAGTCAAAAAACACATAAAATAAGCAATCACAAACACCCCCTAAATTGGAATTTCTTTGAAGGTATGAAATTTCACAACTAGTAAAAATCTTGCACAAAAACATCATTTCTTTTCGCATTAAAATCGTTCTAACGGTAATTAAATTCTACAATACGTGAAGACCGAAGAACAATTAAGCGACACCGTGACGAAAACGTTAAATAGATTCAAGTTTGATAATCCTTGTAACAAATTGAGCATGATCAACATATATGCTCCAATTTTTGAAGCAGCAATGCATGCACAAATGATTAATAATGATAATAAAACAGCAATGAAAACTATGAAAGAAATCTGTTTGTACAATAAACAACAAAAGGTTTTGCTTAAGGGAGGGAGGCTGGTTGTCCACCAACTGTTGTAATATTTCTTTCTAAGTCCATTATTCACACTCCCTCGAAATAAAATCGACATGCCTCCCTTCGTCTACAAAGAATACTTTCAAACCGACCAACCGTTTGTCTTTTAAATAGAACAAAACGACATCACGGACCAAAGTTTCCCAACAGTCTCTCCACTGCGGCATGAACATTGCCTGAAGTAGCACGTAAAGCCCTGATGTTCTCTTGGGTATCGAAGAATCCCATCTCTTGAAGCTGCGATAGTTGAGTCGCATAAAGCTGTTCCGGTGGCACTACATGCAAAACATAAGGAGCATTTATGTAAAACACAAGGGGCATAATTGGAAAAGAAAAACCCAAATAAGCAATCTGAAGTAGAATTTCAAAAGGCTAGCTTATAACTTAACAAACCGGACTTTTTCAATAAGCTCAAAAGATAAGCTAGTTTATGGTTGTCAAACATGGGCTTAAAGTTGTCTGCAAGTGATGGATGTAAAAAATTGTACATTTTCCCTAGGATTCAAGATAAAAAGGGACGCATATACAGATCAAAATTAAAGTATTACCATCAGGCACATTAGGAACAGCCATGCCAGGAGCTCCGAGTCCACCAAACATACTCATCAACAAGTCCAACCCCATATTGTTTTGTGTTCCTGCAGATTACAAACTTGAAATGATATTAACATATCATATGATTTGGAGGGGATCAAACATTGATAATGGGAGGTTCATACCTGCAGCAGCACCGGTCTGGGTAGGATCCCTGAAACAAATAGGTGGTTGCTTTAGCAATAACAAAAGAACTGATTACAATCAGCAGTTAATGTTGTTGATATCCCTAAATTGCGTTTCAATACCTTTGGCTGAAAGGTTAGTTTCCCCGTTGAACATATTAAAATGCTTCAAACGTGAAAAAGTACTTAAATAACCAAATTAAGCGGTTAGCAATAGATTCATTTCCACTTACAAAGATGATTGCTGCTGGTTAAGCTGAGGTAGAAGCTGCTGTAAAGACATCATTTGCTGTAGAAAGTGAAATGGAAATAATGGCAAAAAGTGATGATCAATTAGAAATTTTCATCAATCAAACTCGGTATACAAAAAACGCAACTTGCAGTAGACATACCACCGTATCTAACAAATCTTTATTTACAATGAAGCGTATATTTCAAGGTAATTTTCTAAATGCCTACTCCAACTTTGTTCGAGAAACTATAAATGCATGAGAATTCAAAAGGGATGTTTGCAGTTCTGTGCAGATTAGCCAAAATCCTGAACCAAAACGCATACAAGGTTCAAGCTTTTTTCCAATGGGTTGGTCGGTTAAATGACCTTCTCCCAATTTTCTTTTAAATCCATAATCTTCTAACAAGTTTTAGAATGGCACTTCCATATGCAAGAATGCCAACTAAACTTGTCAGAAGGTAATGTTTTATATAAAATTCTCATTTAAGGTCATTAAGCAAGATGGTCCTTTTCCAACCCACAAACCAAACCGTAAAATATCTCACACAAACAGTGAAGTGAGATTTATGTAGTTTGTACCTAAATCAATATGATGCGTGGAAAGTGGCAATACAAAGTTCCATAGTTTCCATATTCCATATAATACAGAATTTTATGGTCCAACCAAAGGGACTTTGGCCTAGTGGTATGTGAGTCCTTGGCCTCCTAGGAGGTCAAGGGTTCAAACCTCACCAAAGGTGAGGAGGGTGTGTGAGTTTATTTGTTCTATTTTCCGTATATAAATATTATATACTTTAAAAAAAAATCATAGTCCATAGCATACAAAGTGAAAAGTGGCAATACACAACATAACAAGTCCAAAAGCATAGCAATTTTTAATAAAACCTTCAAAACAAATCTACGTCAAACAAAAGAAATCCAAATCTAAATTAAGTTACCATGGAATATTAGTAATTTAGGGTCTGTTTGGTTGGTTTTCCATTAAACCATGTATGGATAAAGCTGTCTGTGTAAATTAATCTGTCCGCGTAAGGTTTTTGTTTGGGAGGGTTTTTTCATAGATGGAAGGAGCGTGGTTTTTTAATTAGGAGGGGCAGGTTTGAAAAAAACTTGGCTTTCTGTATAAAACTCCCCCCTAGAAGCTTACTAAATAAGCCACTTTCTATATCATTAAGCCACTACCAAACAGTCAAGTATAGTTAACCGAATAAGTTGCGAGTCCCATTAAGCTGCTAAAAATCAGGCCCTACTATCGAATATATGAATACTGTCAAAATAACTATTTTTTAGTTGATAAAATTATCTGCAGAACTTAGAAATCACACATAAATAAAAATATCAGCAAGAGCCACACATAATAAATTCACTCCAAATCACTCCACAAGATGTATACCTGCATCATCTGAGGTGAAGTTAATTGGCGAAGCACTTCTGGATTCTGCATCATCTCTCTCAACTGAGGGTTTGAATCAAACATACTGCGAAGTTGAGGATTTTGGCTCACGATCTAACATTTCATATTTACTCAAAAGTATTAGAACAATGGCGAAAACCAGTTATGGTATCTCAATCAGAGTGTATCTATAGCATACCTGCTCCATATATTGGGGATTGGAAAGCAGGCTTTGCATCATCTGAGAAACGGCTGGGTTTTGCATTAGCTGACTCAGGTCTGGCATGCCGGTTGTGCGGTCTAACCCTGGCAGACCAAGACCACCTAACCCAGATACCAGAGGCGTCCTTGCATCCCCAAGATTTGATCTTGTACCAGGATTTGTCTGGGTACCACCTAATAATTTTCAACAACAAAGTTCAACAACAATACCACTTCTAATAATACTGAGATGCCTGATATATATATATATATATATATATAATGTGTGTGTGCATATATATACACAAACACATATATTCAGGGAGGATCGACGGATCGAATATATATACACACACACATATGTTCAGGGAGGATCAAATATACACACACACATATTCAGGGAGGATGAAATAGAACCAGCAAAAAGGTTGGAAACATGGAAACAGTTCAATATCTCAACTGTTGGATGAATTTCATCCAAGTGATGTAATTAAAAGAGCAGTTACAACTTATCTTTAAAACAAAAGCATCCCCCCATGTTTTAATACAAAATTGGCAAAATATAATTAAAATTGGAGTCAAACGAAGTATATCAAAGAACGATCATTTTATTCTTTTTAATTTGACATTCATGTTGATATACTTTTTCATCTGTTTTTTCGTGTTTCCACTTTTGGTCTAAATAGAAACAATATATGAAGGTTGGAAACGTGGAAACAGATCTCAACCGCTAGATGGATTTGAGCCAAAAGTCGTGACCGAAAAGGTGTCTAAAATATTAGTTTAAACAAAAAAATAACCCCCAACCCTCTTGATTTTAATAGAAAATAGGCAAAATATAATCAAATTGGAGACGAACAAATTATACCAAAAAAACAAGCTTTTCATGTTTCCAACCTTCAGGTTGTTTCCAATTGAACCACCCACTATATATATATATATATATATATATATATATATATATGTGTGTGTGTGTGTGTGTGTGTGTGTAACATGCCTTGATGCGAGAATTACATATCGTTTAGAACAATCATCCCCAAAAAATAGTTGGTTTATATCAGTCAGTTATTACCTTGCCTGCAACTTCGAAAATAAACTCCCTTACTTACCATGCTACAGTCAAGTAAGGCTCAATTTGGACACCTCGGAACCTCCCCAAACTTCCATTTGGTAGAGGTTGAACATTTTGGTTTTGTTTGTTTTGGCTGAACGCCAAGATACATATTTTATGGTGCTATTACATGACTCCTACACTCGTGATGATCCAGACCACATTTTAAAAGAAGAAAGCACAAATTGAAGAAACAAAAAGAAAATATAACAAAAGAGCCACTTATAAGTTAAAAAAATTAGTTCTTTTACCACCGGTGCCACCCCAAGGATTGGGAAGTGGGTTAGAATTAGGAGCTGCAGCCCCTGGAGTTGTTTCAGTGCCTGTTGCTGAAGGATTGTTAGATAAGCCCCTAGTTTGAGTAGCAGCACCCTGATTCCCCAACAAAGCCGCAAATGGGTTAGATCCTGAATCATTTGCAGCAGCTCCACCAGTCGTTGTAGCATTCAGAAAAGGTTCTTGAACGTTTTCATACATACGTCTAAGCATGTTGAATCCCTCGGGAGATGATTCAATATTACTCATGGCCCTATCAGTGTTCCGCATCATTTCACGCATAAGCTCAGGATTCCTTGCTGCTTCCAGTGTCTGCCTAAGAATTGCAGGGTCGTTAAGAATATGAGCAAGCTCAGGGTTACGGTCAATGATTTCACGCATCTGCGGATTGCTCATAATCATCCCACGCATGACCTCAGGGTTATTCAGTATGTTTTGAATTGCTGGCATGTTCATCATGTCTCTCATCATATTGGGATTCTGAGTTAATTGCTGTTGGACTTGTTCGAATTCAGGAAGTCCAGACCCAAATGCACCAGAACCCCCAAGTCCACCCAAACCAAGTCCGGGAAATAGGGGTGCACCAGTGCCAGCACCACCTAAGCCGAACCCATCATTGGAAACAGCACCTTGAGAAACAACCGAGGGAGTATTAGCATTTCCAGCAGTAGAACCGCCAGTAGCTGGTGCAGAAGCAGCTGGAGCAGAACCACGCACCATGTGAATCGTGTGATCTGCCTGCAGGCCTACAGCATACCAGAGAATTAAGCCGATGCCTTACTAGCAAAAAGAGTTGAGATGTAGACAGCCTAAAATAAAATCAATGATTTCCACTAAAAATATCGAAAGAACAGTCACAAAAGACTAGATAGGAAGCTGCATGTGAGAGCATTACTGAAATGGACATAAGGACATACATAAAATAGTCATGGATCATTTACAAAGATTTGAGCATAAACGTAAACAGAGGCGGACCCAGGAATTTTTTCAAGCTGTGGCACCATTTTGACTGAAACGAATAAAGCTATAGAGACTTTTCACAAAATAATTACAGCTCTGTTGCCTGTTGGTTGGTTCCTTGTCTTTGCAAGGAAAGGTCCTCTGTTCGAGCCTTCTCACAGTCTTTTACTCCAAAAAATTTAAACAATGAAAAGCTATAGAAAAGCCAAAATTAAAAGCTAAAAGTAAAGCAAAATTGGCAAACCAGGGACTCAAACCCGACCCAAGCCCTTCCTTTTGGCAATATCAACAAGGTGACACACACCAACTCTGCCACATAAAAAGAATGTCATTTACTTTAGTTTCAAGAAATATAAAGGCGCTCAAGAAACGTTATGGTGGCACCTTTCAGGAACGTAATTTTTTTCCATTAAGACGGGAACATGAAGTGGTGGCATGGACCACCATATGCTCCTCTATAGGTCGGCCCACGTATGTAACAAATGACGTGCAGCCAAGATATGCAAGTAAATGACAAGAATATATGGGAATTCTGTTAAGGCAATCTTTCTTGGTTAACTTACTTCAATAGACTGAAGATCTTATTATAGACAGAAGAACAAGGTAGCAATAAGAAAAAAAAAAATTACATCCTGGAGAGAAAGATGAAACGACATAGAGGGATGATTTGAGGTATAAAGCTCCAAAGGTACACCTAGGAAATGAAATAGTATATCTAAGATAAAGTCAGGATTTAGACTCAATTTTCACTGTTATCCTATTACATTCTTTACTTTCTTTTATAACTCTGTTGCTTATATGTAGCTGGTCATTGTGCTTTTTCCTTTGTTTTTTTGAACAACTCAGGGGTATTATCGGAAACAGCCTCTCTGTCTCAAAGAACAAATGTAGGGTCTCATACATCCCCCCCCCCCCTTGGCAGGTGACGCTACCTTCGGGTAGGATTTACTGGGTCAAATATACGTCAAGCATTACTCAAAAAGACACTAAGCTTGAAAGCCCAACAAGTCGAATCAAGAAAAATAGAAGTTGAGCTAATCTGTGCATTTGAAATCCACAATAACAAACATTATATTCCACAGATGTTCTTTGAACTCATATGTAGCAAGTAATTTTCGAGTTGAATCCGATCCATCAAGTAGCTCGCCTAGCCTCATAGCCATATGTACAACGGTAGTGTTGTCACCCTTAGGCGTAGTTGTTTTCTTCTCGTTTCTTCTTATACTTTCCCTATGCGCTCAGAAGGTAATGCTCATAATTTTCTACTAAATCACTTCAGTCCTTCTCATTAAGATAGTAAGATACAAAGATACTAAGATTCGGGCAAAAGAAAGGTATACTAGTCTGTATATTAGGATAATAATCAGGACAATAGCCTACATGTATTCTTATTATCTCTAGGATCGATATCATTTTTATTTTATGGTGAATACCATATTTATTGTTGAGATGGTCATTGTTAGCTTTACTATATATAGGCCCGGCATCTTTACATTGATAAACAGATGCTGAACACAAGAACTGAGAGTTTTCTCTTTGATCATGTGAAACAATCCTCTTCACTAAGATACCTTAGACTATCCCGAGATCAGTGCTCAAATGAACCCTTGTATTTCTTCAGAGCAGAGCCCCGATGAAACCTGGTTCTTTAATAGATTAACAAAAAAATCCTCCTTTTTTATAACATATGCATGACTGCATCACCTTTCCCTAGAAATCTTTCATCTTTTTTTCTTCCGTATTACCAAAACACCATATATACAAATCTTATGGTTAAGCCAAGTTAAATAAGCCTGATCCAGTATATAACATTGCCAAAATCATGGATGGGTATTAAAGAGGAGAGGGAAACGAAAATCATAATTTTTCTAACATCTTTCCTGCATCACCATCAAGAAATCTTTCATCTTTTTCTCCTTTATTACAAAAAAACACGGTTTTTACAAATCTTACGGTTAATCCTACTTTAATAGGCCTCATCCAGCATCCGATATTGCCAAAATCATCGACAGTTACTAGAAAGAAGAGGAAAAAGATTTTCTATTTCTTTATCTGCAAGGGTTTGTTTCAAGAACACTTCCCAATGATTTGGTATTTCTTAGTAATCGGTTTCACTTGTGTTATTCTTAGTAACACCAATGCTATCAAAATATACACAAATTTGACTCAAGGGTTACATCTCAGACTACTTTATACAACAAGTTCACAAAGTACTTTAAGGCATTAAAATACCCAACCTTATAAGGAAAATTAACCATTACAACAGGCCATATTAGATCAAGGTTGCTGCTTTTCATCGGTTTGCAATGCACAAGTCCACAAAGCATTATAGAACGTTTTCGGGAAAGAAACTTTTCCCGATAACAATATAAGAATCATCAAGCAAATAAATATGTTAAATTTTCGAAATAGAATATCAAAATCAATACAGAAAAAGAAAAAAAGCGTTTACCATAACTATCTAGGGTTTGATCATCCTTCAAGATTCTTCCTTTATAAATCAACCTCTGTTGATTGGCAGGAACATCACAGTTCTGAGCCAAAACATCTTTGAAAGCGACAACCGTTGATCGAAGGCTCGTTCTCACCGAGAACTTATTGCCGTTAGAACATCGGATGTTGAGGGCGATCTCTGCATCGGCACCGTCAACGGAAGCGACGCCTTTTTGAGTTGACTCTCCTCCCTCCACACCCATCAGAGAAAAACCCTAATTCTAGAAACAGAATCCACAATTACACATACACAAACACAAAGAAACCAGGATTGTATCGAAGTAATGTTACAAAATTTGGGATCGAGAAAATGTATATATATGAGTGTTGATTTAATTAAACAATAAAAGGAAAAAGGGAAAAGGGGTCAGTCAATTTGGGTGAGCGCACCTTCAACATTTATCTTCTCTCAACCTTCAATTTTTTTTTTTAAATATATTAATTATCAAATAGATTATTTAAAAACCTACTAAAACAATTGTTATGTTAGACATAGGGGCGTAACGGTTACTCGGATAAGTGAACATCAAATCATATTATCTTACCGGATGAATATGGTAAGAACCAAGAATCTTACCCAATAAAAGCGAGAGAAAAATCAAGAGTCTTATCCGGTAAGTGAGGGTGACGATTCTTACCACGGTAAACGCTTACCAGGTACATTGTTGCATACGATACCGTTTTGGTGGACTAAAAACTTACCCGATAAGTAAATGATAGTGTTAAATTTTATCGCTAAGTGTTTGGTAAACGACTCCTTACAGTCATTCCTTAACATGTTAAACGTAAGGTTTTGAACGACTTTAAGAGTTAGGACCCGATTTTATATGTGTTTGGATCTTGAGGCCATGCTTCAACCTCTGCAACTAAATCATAATCAATAACTCGGTTTTGGTATACTTTTGGTACAAGTTTAATCAGCCTTGAAAATAGATTGGAACGACCCTGGTTAGATATTTAGCGTTAGGTTATTGAGATTTGAATATAATACTATGTGTATTTAAATTGAACAAAGTTTTTTTCAAATATTAGTGCAACAAAAATACAACGATTGTCGTATTGGATCGTAGAAAATGTAGACCAAATGTACAAGAAAAAGTGACTCGTTTTTTAATATATAAAATGTTACATTATGTTTCGACGAGTTGGCATGCAATATCCACCATGAGAGGGGGGGGG